CCAGTTGCGGCGGTCAACGGGGTCGAGGGGTGTCGCAGCTCTTTCTTCATTGGAAGGGGCAGAGGGCGGCTGACTTAGGTCGATGGCGGAGGGAGCGGGAGGCGCAGATTTGGGAGCGGCGGCAAGGTCGGCATTGAGCTCGCTGATGACCGAGTCCATTGTGTGCGCCCCGCCACCACCGACGACTGAGCGGGTCTGTTGTGCTGCTCGTGGTAGTATACGGCGCAGAGCAAACATGAAAATTCCCGATTAGGTAACTCGCTCTTTACCTCTTTACCCGTTCCACCACCATGTCGGTATGTTTTTGCCTTCTTCCTCGCGATGATTAGCAACTAACCCGCCTTGGAATAGTTCTCGACTACGCTGTACAATACCTTCTTCAAGCGCAACAGTAGGTCTCCATTGCCTTTGGCTGCTCCTCGACGCTGACCTGGATAGGCGTGTACGTCGCAACCATCTTTGCTGGCGCATTCGGATTCGGTATTGGGTTCGATACTGCCCTGGATTCTTTCTATGACCGTTGGAACAAGGGAGTACGTCCTCGCTTTTTCAATTTTCTCCGTTGCGTGTGCTCAACCCGACGTAGAAACAATGGAAGGATATCCGTCATAAATACGTTGAAGCTGAAGAGTAGATTCTTCCCTGTTCCTCGAAATTAAAACCAACCACCGCGTTATTTTAACTGGGAATTGAACTTGAAAGAGAATTGGAATCCCTTGACGAATGGGGAGCTGCTTATTAGTGGGAGCGGGAGAAACCGGGTTACCTCTTGTCGGTCCAACAGTCACGGCTTTGATTTGACATCTATGTTTCACGCTTCCCTTCGCGGCAAATGGTGTTCTCCTGGATTATCTCGCGTCGTTTGGCACTGTCCTTGTCTGAACAAAAATTTCCTTGGCTTATTTATGTTTTTTTTTTGTTTCTCTCTCAGCCGTTCACTGTCTTGGTCGACAAGCCCGTAGAGCCAAGCATGTGATCTGAGCACTGTTTGGCATGCTACATAGGCATATCCAGCATCATTGGAACTATTGGGTGTGCATCTATTTAACTGGCCATTTTCAGATACAATTAGCGCCGACCGTATCATTCAAGCAGACTGCAACCGACGCATGGTACCTCTGCGCTAAAGGCTTCAAGTACATGCAGGGTCACATCAAGTGGGCTACTTGGTGGAAAACACACGAGGAAGTTTGGTACGTGCCGTTGATGGGGGTTGATGAGGATAGACGGGTCTGATGCATGATTGGGAGTCCTGATTTATCTATACTACGCAAACAATGCCACTCATCATAGAACTTTCCTAAGCCACCTACAATACTGTAGAACAACTATTTTGGCGAAGTTCTATTCAATATACTAGTGAAGAGCGTTCAAGACTGTCTGACACCGAAACCCCCTTATTCTGGAGTCACATTCTGAAGAACAATCTTCGCTCTTATCCCTTTACCCTCCAACATTAATACACCATGCAACCAATCTCGCAACCTGGTTCTCACAGGTCCTCTCATCCGCCTCACAAGGACAAGGAAGTATCCGGCTATCATACCGCGCAAGGGATTCTGAGAGACAATATGACTCGAACGATGCTGCGACTAGAACGACGACCCAACATGTGTCCCTATCTTGTTGCTACAAGTGTACCATTTCAGCTCTTTGACGAGTGGTCAACATATGACTCGTGGGTTTGGTTCCTCTGTTCCCTTTGACGTTGCTAATGACCTCCCTCGTAGCGCCTACCCTGCTCTACGAACAAGATCCCCAGTCTGTCTTTTCGCCACGATCCGTCCCCACAGCATGAGGCAGGGACGATGCAATTCTTGGGTGCATTCTAGCAAGGATAGATAGATCTGTATAACAGCAAGTCCTCCACGCCAATTATCTCAACACGGGGACATATCTATACATGGGAGGTTCATCCTGTTTGCCTCTCTGCGATGGATCTACGAAAGAGCCTGATGCGAGAGTCTGCATAATCAGACTGTGCGTTGGGAAACCGCGACTCTCTCGCTGCGTCGTATTTGAATGCGCGCACATGAATGAAGACGAGGCAACATTAGTTTCTGAGACCCTGAGATGGGCTGACTCTGGACAATCTTCTGTTGGTTCGAAGATTCAGGACATTGTGAGTTGGCTGACGTCTCGTGAGTTATGGTCATAATTTATTCGAGCATATGTTAACGTTTGCCGGCAGCCCGACTGACTTCTTATACCACCGATAGATGGGGACCTGTCGTTACGCGATACATTGTTCCTCACGACGCCGTCGATCCACGCTCCGCCACGAAATGCGGCGACTCTGGGGGAGCTAGAACAGGCGTTTGGAAACGACGATACGCCCTTCGATGTTTCAACACAAATTGAATAAAGGTACCAGAGCAAGCGGGCAAACTCGAAAAGTGGCCCCCGAATTTGCCAAAACATATCAGCGCCGTTTTCGAGCGGCTGAGGGCGCGACAGGAGGAAGGCTCAGACTATTTCGAAGGAGATGATGATATGGCTCGACCACCGCTCTTGGAGCCCGAAGAAATGAAAGCTGGGGTCTTGGTCGATGGCTGTTGTATTCCGATATCGATATCAGCCTTGTATGGTGATGATCCTCTGCCCTCACCTCTTGCTCCCGGTGATCAACTCTTTGTGGATGTATTCTCGATTCGAGCACATGTATCGTTTGCTGTTGAAGACTTGGTGATGTATACAGAGCAGCTTAGAGAGGCGGTGGAGAATAGAAGAGATTAGAGCAAATGCATGTGAATTTATTCTTTCACGAAGAGTCTTGTCTATATATTCTATTCGTTTAACACAAAATGAGGATGGGTTGCAAAGGTCTTGTAAGCCTCCCGATCCAACGAGTGTAAGGCGACTCGTTTATCAGTCTCTATAGTTTCTATCAGCGCCTCTGATAAGGAGTGAGCGATCAATGAAGAACGAAGTATGTAAGTAAAGCGCACCCATTGTGGTAAAATCCAACTCGGGGCGTATATATCCAAGGACGACGGCTCTGAGCTCCATGCCGTAAAAGTCGGCGGTGTACTCGTGCATGACGTGGATCTCCTGCTGGACGGTGAGTACGACGAAACAGAGACAGGATAAGACGGACAGCAGTGAGACGCTCATTCTTGTAGAACGGATTCCAGCCGAGACTCATTACCATTGGCCATACCTCGTTCGACGGTGCGTCTGGGACTTGGGCGTAGCCATAGTACACCCCCGGCTGGGCCACTGAGCTGATCGCCTCTATCGCTTCATCGGGGAGGTTCGCTGCGAGGCATCGGGGTCAGATCCAGGCAAGACCAAGGTAGCACAATCACCTGTAGGGCAGTTCAGATCCTTGCCTCCCCGTCCAAACCCACGCTGGACTGCGCCGCTGAGCAGTATAGGAAACGGGGACTCTGGGTGGTCGGGACCGACGACGAGGGGACGACTATCGCGAAAGCTGTCTGTCTGAAAGAGGGCAGTGGGACGGGCAGTCATCAAGTCAGTCAAGTCTATTTTGGGACTTTACTCTTGACCACGATGATCCCAGCGCCGGTGCCTGTAAATCCATACTCCGTCTACAGTTCCGCCTACCCCGCCTACTATCCGTACACAGCCGCAGCAGCCGCGCCCCAGCTGCAGCCAGAGCCGTCCCCGCCGTCCCCCGTCCCGCCCGCCGTGTCCCCCGCCGCCGCCTCAGAAGCCACACAGCGCATCGTCTCTGCAGAGCTCAAACGCGCTGGCTTCGATGCCGCAGAGCCCGCCGCCGTCATCCGTCTCGAGCACGAGGTCGTCGCTATCGTCGAGGCCCTCTACCACCGCGCTCACGAGTACGCCAACCTCGCCAACCGCGCCGGGGCTGTCGCTACCGACCTCGGTGCTCGCATGCAACGATTACGAGCTCGACATGAAGGGTCTCCGTGCCCAGACTCGGAAGAGAAACACGGCCCTGCTCCCCACACTGATACCCCCGCCCTCGCGCTCTCCCTCCCCAGAGCTCCTCTCGTCTGACGACGAAGATCCCGCGTCTTCTATTCCGTTCACGCTGCGCAACCTTCCGACTTCGTTCCCGGACCTTCCCCCGAAACACACGTACCACCAGACTCCCTGTGTCTCCGCCGAAAAAAGCGGCTTTGCCTTCGCTCGAGAAGAAGCTCAAGACGGCGGGACTTGTGCAAGAGTCTCTGCGCAACCTTATGCTCTCCACAGAGGATGCTTCGGGTCAGGGCCAGGAGGACGCGCAGCTACTAGGGCATATTGTGAATTGGCAGAGCAGTGCCCATCCGAGGAAGAGATGGAGAGTTGGGTCATGATGCAATGCGTTCATTCTTACATGCCAAATTGTATTCTTCAATGCCAAGTGAGACGTGCAGGCACTTGACACTTACAGGTGGAAAGCTGAATTGTCAAGTTACGAGTACTGCAAGTATCTATAAAGAAGGCAAGGCATACCACTGGATTATGCTTACACCGGCCGCGCTCCATTGCCGGCTGAGGGCTCACCAGGCCAAGGCCCAATGAATCGTGCGACGGTCGACCACCGAGCCCCGGGGTTTCGGATCGGTAAGTTACCGGTTAGTTACTGGTACTTTACCTCCCCCCTCTGGAGGGGTTTTCGTCGAGGTAACTTACCTGTCATGTGATGATGTAGGAGCAAGCAAAATTACTGTCATGACTGTCATGTTTGACTCTACTAAGACAATTTTATGTTGGCAAAGTGCAGGTTTGTTCTGTAACACTATGCACTGAATCGTAGCTCAAGGGAGGGGAAAATGCAGAAAATGCGTGAAGATTAAGATTCTGGATGAATATTTTTGAAAATGCGACTTGACTGGACGTCAATCATGTGATATTCGCACGCGACAGGTAAGAAACGGTAAGTAACCGTAGCGAAACCCCCCCCCCCCCCCTCTTGGGGGTCCCAGTAAAAAAAGGTATAGTACCTCCCTGGGAGGTTTCGTGCGCAGCCCTAGTCCCGATGTAGATTGCCAAAAAAGTGATCAATTGATTTATTTAATTCCGTCAAAAGGTCCAACCAGGGTTCGAACCTGGGTCGTGGGAATAATTCCGTGATACAGTCAAAATCCCATGTGCTGCCACTACACCATAGGACCAATAACAGTGGTGAGATAGCCGTGAATAGAGAATGATTTTGTGATAGTAATGCCGAAAGAACCAACATGGGAGGTAAAAATATTGTCCGAAGTCCATTAACTACTTTTCCTTGTCCTCACACTTCTTTTCAGGCCCTTTGCGGGAACATCTGCTTCCACAGTCTGAGTTTTCTTCGGCCTTCCCCTTGGTTTCGGCTTAGGTGCAGTCTCGGAATCTACATCCATCACATCGTCGTTAGCATCCTTCTCCTGTCTTCTTGGTTCTGGGTTTTGTTGAGGAATTACAGGGTCAATGCTCATGGCATCAGAGTCTACAGGAGCCGATTTGGGTGCTGACGGCCCAGCGTCAAACGGTATTGACGGTTGGGGAACTGCGTTTGGCCATGCACGCGGAGCTGGATTTGGAACGGCCTGGTTTCCCCTCGTACGCGGATTAAGTGCCCATGTAGTCAGCACAGGCACAGCTAAAGGAGCTGCCGCCGAAACCGGGGCACTAAGCGCATATGTAGGAGGCTGCTTCCAGACAGGATTACTTTCCTTTTCCACTCCTTTGCCTTTCTTCTGTGGCTCCGGAGGAGGCGTCGGCTTGATCTTGTTATACCTCGACCGACAATTCACGTCAATTCTCCCCCCACCCATCTCGCTCGCGATAGTCTTCCACCGCCCAACAGTCCCAAACTGGTCAACAAGCTCCGCTAGCCGGCGATCGTCGTCTTCTGTCCAGACACTTGCCGCCTTTTGGCGCTCGATCCACCGGTCCCGACACTGGTCATTTGTCCGCCCTGGCATCGCGCTCGCCACATCCACCCAGCTCTGCCCGTATCCCCCCACCGCAGAGTGCAGTCGTGCGTCTTCTGCTGCCGTCCATGGGCGACGGTCGAGGTGCAGTCGAACGTATCGCGCTTCACATTGAACCGCGTTGAGCTCGTTGGAGACGTATCGGGCAACTGACGAGGGTTAGCAGGCAAGGCGACAGACCAGGCAGGCATACCTAGACTCCAATTCGCCACACCGTACTTTTGGACGGCCTCCTCAAGCCGGTCGTCGATGCGTTTCTTCCACGCGTGCTTAGGTCGCTGCCGGAGTTGTATGGCTTTACGCAAACAGTCAAGAGGGATGCGGTTTGTCTGGGTACAAGATTAAGTTGGAACACAGAGGTATAAAACTGCTTACCCCAAGGTCCTTTGCTACTTGCACCCAGTTCACCTTGGTCTCTTGAACAATTCTCTTGAGCTGCTCGATCTCCTGATCCGTCCACTCGCCGTGGTTGATCCTTGGGTGTCTGTCTGCCATCCATTTGAACTGTACCTCGTCTGCTGTCCATTTTGCCGTCGACGCGTCAGATACCTGAAGGTTAATTAGAATACGTAAAATGTCAGGAATATAAATCAACCTTTTTCAGCAATGATATTCCAGTTGATGCCTTCTGTGTTGTGAACGATGTCGATATCCGACGTTCCACTTAGAACATTAGACAGATAAGGAGAGAACTCCAAGGAGGAACGCACCGGTCCCTCGTTTCCAGTGCTTTCAAACGCGTATTCTCGTTCCTGACACCCTCGTCTAGCGCCGCAAGTTCTTTAGCCTTCACTGTCATCATATCAGAGAACGGAAGGGCCATCAGAATCAAACATACTGGGTCGTACAGTTGTCCAAGTCAGATACCGCGTCCTCTGCATCGCCTCTTCGTAGAATGGTGAAGACTCGAAACATACATAAGCCACAACGCGATATAATGCCAGTAGATACATACTGGATTGACAAGTTCACTCGACGCGACGGGCCCCACAGGCTTCTTTGCACCTATGATCTGGACCTGGAGCCCCAGGTCGTCGTCCGCATCTTCCTTGTCGCGCTCCGCCGCTTTCTACGTCCATGAGCAAAGGTAACAGACGAAACGTAACGGAACGCACGAGGAGTTTGTCGAGCTCGTCGAGTTCTGTTGAGAGTGCGTCAGCGTATTGGGTGAGGGCGTATTGGTGGGCTTGGGCGGTATCGATGGCGGGTGTGAGGAGGTCGTGGATGCGCGAGGTGGTCATTGATGAAGAAGGAAGCGGCCCGGAAGTTTGTTGAAGTTTAATTTGACATCCGGCTATCTAACTACGGCAAAGCTTGTTTACGGTATCCCGCCATCATCATGCGCCTCCAGCCTTGTCAGCAACTCGTCATAGTCGTGATACTCTTCTCCCACCTCTGTTTCTAACAGACACTGGCATAGCTCGATGATAGCCCGGCTTTGATCAGAATGACTTGCGTCCGTCCATTTTTTTAATGTCAATAGGCATGAGATGGACCATTATTGGCGCTGATGAGGGCGTGAGGTACGGGCAGAGCGATACAGTTGACCATATCGTCGAGAGGCTATTGGTTCAAGGATATAAGAAGAACGTTAACGGGGATCGGACTTGGTACCCCATTGCAACGATCTGTGCCATGTCAAGTCGTCTGGAAGTCACGAAAGACGACTGGGTAGTCGGTAATATAGACATCCTTGTTGGAGGTAATGAGCCTCGCCTCATCATCAATCTCTTCACAGTTCATATGCATGAGAGAACACAATATGCCAGTAATTTGGCGGCTTTTTGGATGCTTGGTCCAGGCATTCGTGGAAATGAACGCGCCACCCAGGCTGTAAGGTACTGCTTCCTGACCCCAGATCACATGAAGAATAGCGACACCGGCTCAGAGTATGTCGGCTGAAGCCTTCGCAATCTCAGGCTGTTGGGACTGGCAGTGTTTTTCTTCCTAGGTCTCGCTTTGTTGACATTCTGGAGCTCTTGCCACAAGGATTCAACACTAACTTGAATATACGAGTTCTAGGGTACTGATTATATCAAAGAAAGACCCTTATTCTTTCCTCGCGAGACGATATTTGCATTTCTCCGAAGAATATCCGGAACGCGAAACCCAGCGCAGCACTGATCGTTCGGTCACAAGTATACTTTATCGCATCAATCGCAGCTCATTCAGCGCAAATTTCGTACCATGGGATCTGTGTCATATACTAATACGAGTTTCATCAAGAAAACAGACGAAGAGAGGGTGGTATAAATGTGACAATCTGTGACGAGCGCGTTTTTGGTAGTCACTACCACTTTCTTCCTGCTCCATTTTCTGGAACCGGTTACCCTCGGCTGCCAGTGCATACCGTTGCTCCTGTTTTTCTATTCAAGATGTCTTGATTTACGGGTGCTGTACTGCTATCTGGCTTTCCACGGTCGCCATCTACGGCTGGCACCTACTTCGTATGCACCGCAGAAGTCTAGCAAGTTCTCGTGGCGTCTCCAAAGGTTGTCGTATATTCAATGGACTCTACACTTTCTCTCTACCGCCGGCATATATTCACTTGATTGAAACTGAAGCTTCATGTCTATGACACGCTACAGAATGCCACGGGATAACACGGCTCCTCTCCCTTGGTGATTCAACTGCCACGGCAATAACTCACGCAATAAGGGTCATAAACTTTATCGTGAAGTATCAGCCTGCTATAAACTGCGCGTGCTTCTCATTGCGTGCTTTGGTGGAACAGCAGAGCTCAAATTTGATGTCTAGTTCTTTCGTGGTGGTCATGCTACACGTCCCATGGTGATTCCAAACGCCTCTATTACGTTTCATGGACTGCCATTGGTACGATAAAGCCCAAAAATGTCTTCTCGTGACCAAACTCTCGCTCGGAGTCGCTCCTGCACTCCATTTCGCGGTCCGGTGAAACCTCGGATAAACGCGTCCGCTCAGTTTTTGCAGGTCTCACGGGCTATATAAGGGATCGAGGAGCGATGGGTTCTTCGTCTCTCCTCTCCAGACATGTCCGACTCATCTTCAGCTCTTCATCTCATTCATATTAAGAAAGAAATTGCTTCCTCTTATCCCGACTTTGAAGAACGTGTTACACGAGGATGGGCTGACATCCTCGTTGAACTCAAGAAGGCGACTGAGAAGATTAGCGCTGGGGGGCCCGAGGTTTTCTGTTTCTTTGGCTGACTAATTACTTAGCTCACAGACGCTAGTTCATTCCCCAAGTCCAGTTCTCTGAACTTGGTAGCCTTCCAGCTGATAAGATTGACGAAATCCGACGCAAGGGGTGCCTTGTGATCAAGGATGTTGTCGATGATGCGCAAGCGATCTTTTGGAAGAAGTCGCTCGAAGATTTCATATCCGCCAACCCAGATGCTGATGGTACGTTTCCCTGTATAATGCTTGTGCGGCTACTCTCACCCAAGTTTCCAGGTTTTCCCGACGGCAATAAACAGTTTTTCGACCTATAGTATGTATCATCCAGTCTTTGCTTGTCACAGTATCCAACTAATTTTTCAACAGTTGGACGAAATCTCAAGTGGAGGCGCGTGCTCATCCCAACATGCTCACCGCTTCGGTCTGGTTGAACAATCTATATCATGCCGAGCCAGGACAGAAGCTGGATGGCGTAGATTTATCCTCACCACTGACCTATGCTGACCGGTTCCGCATCCGGCAACCCGGGACCGATTGGATTGCGCACCCACCTCATGTCGACGGTACGTTGGCTTGACATCGTCTCATATGAAGTCCTGAACAAAAGAAAGGTGGTACACTTGAACGCTGGGAGGATCCAACCTTCAGATCCTGTTTTGCTGATATACTTAGCGGGCAATGGCGCAAGCACGATCCGTTCCTTCTTGCCGGCCGTGTAGGCGCGCAGACTTCTCTATGCCATAGACCGGAGCAGGTATATTTATCCATGAAAAAATCTTCTGGATATCCTAGCTTACATGTCTCCACAGTCTTCTATCTTTCGAGCCTTCCAAGGCTGGCTTGCCATGAGGTTTGTACACTTCTAGTATTGTGAGCATTCGACCCTCTGACAGGGTTCTGTCCGTCAGTGAAACGGCACCCACAGAAGGAACTCTCAAAGTCTTTCCAGATGTATTGCTTTCTAATGCCTATCTCATCCTCCGACCCTTCTTCCGCTTGCTGGCTGCACCTGATTTCCCAGACATCTGGAATCCTGAGAGTTGGGC